TCTGTTGAGATGGTTATAGCTTGTTGTGGTCTTTTTATATGTCTGTATTCTGTTTCAGAGTGTGAGTTCCCTAAATTTGAGCCTGGGTGTTTCACAAGTACCTATGATAGTACTTTGTATATGTTTAGTAACTATGAATGAATGAGTGGTTTGAGTTAAGATTATCCAATTTTTTTGGCTTAGCTGTGTGTATATCATTTTCTGTAAACATAAGGTGTAACTCCAAACCCACAAATCATTTCAGATTTTAGCATGTTTAATCTCAAAATATTGATGTATACCCATGTCGTGCAGTGCCCATAGAGGCCAGAAGAAGGTGTTGGATCTCTTGGAACAGGAGTTATAGATGTTAGCCACTATGTGGATCTGGGAACTGAACCTGTATTCTCTGCAAGAGCAGCCAGTGCTCTTAACCTCTGTGCTGTTTCTCCAACCCCTCACTAACCATTTTAATTAGACCCTAGATATGTTTCTATGTTTTACTTAAAATGTTAAATGTAAGGAAATGTTAACTAAAATTTTGATGCAAGAGACAGGAGTTTGCTTAAATCAAGCAGTTATATAGTTAACAAAGATAATAAAAACTTCCTTTTTATTAGACCTGCTTGTCTTTGTCTTTTATATTACTTGGTATCCCCAGTTGCTGTTTGCTATTTTTAAAGTTGTCTATTTTGGAATAGTTTTAGATTTATAGGGTAGCTGTGAAGCAGAAATAAGGAAAGAGTTCTGCATACTCCATATATAGCCTTAATTCAGTTTCCCCAATTACCAACCTCTGAGGTAATGCTAGTGCCTTTACAGAACTGGCAGGTTACTAGTAACTAAGTTACACACTTTATTCATAATTTACCAACTTTTCCAATGTACTTTTTTGGTTCTGTGATCCAGTGCATATTGCATTTAGATTAACATGTCCATTTTAAGTTAGTTAAAATTTATTTTCCAGTTTAGTATGAGGTTTTTATTTTTGAATTATGTGCATGTGTTTGTGTCCATGTGGGTGTGCACACATGTATGCAGGTACCTAAGGAGGCTGGTGATATGAATCGGCCCTATGTGAATGCTGGGAACCAAACTTGGGTCCTCTGTAAGAACAGTGTGCTCTTTTAATTGCTGAGCCATCTCTTCAGCCCTAGCATGAGTTATTTTTGATACTGAATATTTAATATCTGAAACTGATTTGTTAGATTACTTTATACTTTGATAAATGTTACTTTCAACATAACCGGAGTGTAGGATGACAGTACACTGGTATTTTTAGCATTCTTTTCCTATTGAGTTGTGTGCAGATCCAGTAGAAACCACAAAATAAAAACCAAACTTACTAATCTATAGTCATTTCCTTTAAAATACGTTCCACAAAATGCTAGTTTTATGCTGTGTTGTAGGAAATTGTCTTTTTGGGATACAAATTTGGGATTCTTTTCTTGTCTTAGAAGACTCCTATTCCCACTAGCTGCAGTGGTAGCTGTTTACATAAGCATTGTGGCTGAGTGAAGAAAAGTGTTTTTGGGGCTCAGCAATTAAGAGCACTGGCTGTTCTTGCAGAAGATGGAGGTTCAAATCCCAGCACTCACATGATGGTTAACAAGTGTCTGTAGCTCCCTCCACATCCATGGGGTTGCACACCTTCTTCTGTCCTCTGAGGGCACTGCATGACATGGGTGCACTTACACACATGCAGTCATAACAAACTCATATACATAAAATTAATTAATTTTAAAAAAGTGTTGAAATGTAGTATTGTTATACTCTTTCAACCTTTGATCATAAATGCTTTTTTCTTTGATAATGCTTGCTAAATCTGAGGAAATCCTTTAAAAGTCATACAGTTTTGATGTAAAAACCCTAGTGCAGCTGGGCATGCCTTTAATCCCAGCACTTGGGAGGCAGAGGCAGGCACATCTCTGTGAGTTTAAGGCCAACTTGGTCTGCATAGTGAGTTCCAGGCCAGCTGGGCCTACTGGGAGACCCTGTCTCAAAAAAAGACCCCTCCCCCCGCAAAAAACAAAACAAAACAACCCTAGTGCAGAGTTTGACCTATCTTGTTAACAGTTCGGTATGTTCAACTTTTTTTTTAATTGCTCATTTTTGGGCCAGGGGGTGTGGGGACGTGGGTGGAGTGTTGAAATAGGGCCTTGTATGGCCCAGGTTGTCGTCAGACTCCTCCTCATGTAGCAAAGACTAGCCTTGAACTCCTGATCCTCCTGCATTTCTAGAGTGCTAGGATTACAAGTGTGCACCACCATGCTTGTTTCTTAAATTGCTCTTTAAAGATGAAATTTGTGTGTACTTGATATTAAGAAATGCGACAGGCAAGAAGGCACTCATTGTAAAGGATTTTGGGGATGGTTTCAGAAATACTATTAATGGGGGAAATCACTCATTTAGATGACTATTTAGTATAGGCTGGTCTTCTGTATATAGCTACGTGACCTTAACTTGCTGAATGTTCTAAATGGCCCCTCCACATAGGATATGTCTGGTGCAATAGAAAGACATTAGGTGAAGTTTGTAGAATATACTAGTCTTTCAGTGCCATGAGAAACTGCATTTTCATTTTAAAATACTATTTTTAGAAGAAAAATTTGTAGTTTGCTTCCTGACCCTGCCTCCTGAGTGCTGAGAGAAAAGGCATGTGCCACCATGGCGAGCTAGAATTGCCTCCCCCCCCCCCATTTACCTAAGGAAAATGATTACTGATTGGGGTGAAGTTCTGATGAGAAAGTAGTTCTTTTGTAGCTTAATTTTGTAAACACTAGTAAACTTTTTTTTTTCTTTTTGTAAACTGTGTAATTACTTGGATTTATTATGCTAGAATTAGTGGAAGTATTAGTGGAAGTATTTGTAATGTGTTATAATTGAGCCCTTTTAGATGCTGAGATAGCCCTTTTAGATGCTAGCTGTGTGGGATTCTCAAAGAACTTCTCCTAAGCATTCTCTTTAGTGTTGCTAACTACTATTTTCTACTAATTTAGAGAATTCATACAGTGTCCATTGAGTCAAGATAGAGGAGATACTGAAGCTTATCCATTTAGAAGGCCTAACTTTTGTGAAAGGAAATGTTTAATTCCTTTTTCTTCCTTTTAAATTGAAGGTGTAATAAACTGCATCCATTAAGAATAACCATTTCTGGGCTGGAGAGATGGCTCAGCAGTTAAGAGCACTGATTGCTCTTGAAGAGGACCTGGGTTCGGTTCCCAGCACCCACATGGTGGTTAACAACCATCCGTAGCTCCAGTTCCAGGGGATCTGATGCCTTCTTCTGACCTCCACAGGCATTGCACAACACAGGTGTACTTACACACATGCAGGCAATATACTCATACACATAAAATGAAAATAATTAATAAACTATATTAAAAAAGAACCATTTCTGAAGCTATTACAATAATTAAGATTTAGGACTTTTCTGGCATCCTTTAAAGTATCCATTATTTCTTCAGAATCCATTCTTTTGTCCCAGGCAACCAACCACTAATTTGCTGAAAAAATTATTTTCATGTAAAGATCCTTTAATGAGGCAAGTCTTGCCAGCTTCTAAGCTCAATATTAAGGGTTAGTAGTTACTAGGCATGGGCCATGGAGCTGGATGACTTTGAGGTTGAGTTTTAAATTACTTAAATACCTTTACCTTGTAAAACAAGTATACTAACAGATCCTTTTTATCACCAAGGATTAAATTACGTACTGGTGTATAAAAATGTTTACCACAGTGTGGCTGGAGGATAAGAGAGGTGTGTACCATCACACCCAGCTTCTCCCCTTATTTTTATAGGGCACTCAAGACCAGGTTAAGTTTAAGAAATTTTAGTAGGTTTGGAGATAACTATAAAAGGCCTTAAAAATATGGAGCACAAGGTATTCTAGATAATGTGTGGAATTTTGTCTTGATTTTATCTAAAACCAGTACTAAAAGTAATTCAGCTCGATAATTGAGGCTCTTTATACCTTAAAATGATTTTTCCTGACTGATAGCTAGGAAGCAGGTACAATTCAGATGACAGATTAACTTGACATTTGTGTAAACCACACATAAATCACTAAAATGAATTTAAATACACAATGTGATTGTTTTCTTGTCATTTATCTTTTCTCCTAAAAGAGGACCCCAGGGGGGAAAATGTGTGTATGTGCATATCTTTGCGAGCATGCATGTGTGTATGTTTATAGTGTAGGTTGTAATTTGTTGAGTTTATTCTTTTTTTAAAATTTTATTTTTATTTTGTGTGAGTGTATTGCCTACATGTGTATTGCCTACATATATGTAAGTGCACCCCTGTCATGCAATGCCCTAGGAGGTCAGAAGAGGGTGTTAGATCTCTTGGAACTGGAGTTATGACAGTTGTTAGCTGCTATGTGGGTGCTGAGAATTGAACCTGGGTCTTCTGCAAGAACATCCAGTGCTCTTAACCACAGAGCTGACTCTCCAGCTTGTTGAACTCATGATCTATAATTTCTTTCCATTTTTTTTTTCTCTAACTCCACAGGAAAAAAACCTTGTCTCTATGTGTTACATATGAACGATTTAATTTTTTTGTAACTAAAACAAGGCTATCTAGCAATTTTTAATAGTTAGAGGAGCATACTTTTAATAATTGAATTTTACCTCTCTTATGTGGTCTTATTATTGTAAAAGCATTGTTTGATTCTTTATGAAAAGGTATGGTTAAAAATATCTTTTTTGTGGTTTAAACCATGTAATTCTTTCAAATGTGTCAAATTAATGGACTATATACATAATTTTTTCCTAAAATAATGAATTGAGTAAACATTTAGTTGGATTTCTGGTAAAACAGTATTCTACATGCATGATAAAGAAGATTATTTACTAAAAATTTGTTCTACATTTCCAAGTGTATATTCTAAAACAGTGAGGATTTTTAAAAAACAAGTTCAGAAGTGTATTTTTAGACTCAAAACTATTAAACTAATTTGGTATTAGGTGATTTTCAGTTGATAGCTTTATTTCTTATGGTATTTTTTTTGTCTTTCTATAGGGCTGAAAGACACACAGAAGTCTTCATGGATATAGTTGGTACATTTAATCATTTAATTCCTACTGAGCACTTAGATGATGCCCTATTTCTAGGATCCAACCTGGAGAATGAAGTCTGTGAGGATTTTAGTACAAGTCAAAATGTCTTAGAGGACTCGCTGAAGAACATGCTCAGCGATAAGGATCCTATGCTAGGATCTGCGAGTAACCAGTTCTGTTTGCCCGTTTTGGATAGCAATGACCCCAATTTCCAGATGCCTTGTTCAACAGGTAATTCTTATTTTTTTTTTTTTTTTTTTTTTTTTTTTTTTTTTTTTTTTAGTCTGCAATTTAAAATAAAAGGACTTTTCAGCAACATCTTTTTTTTTTCCTTTGTTTTTTTTTTTTAAAGTGAAGGTAGTGAATTAGGGTTCTTGCTTTAAATTTAGAGCTTCTTTTCCAAGCATCAGAAATAGAATTTAAATTTTCTTCCAAGAGTGTGTTATTTTTGAGGACATATGGCTCTAGGTAGAATGACCATGTAATTTGTTACTTAAAGTGGGGTGTTTGTGAGAATTAAAGGGGATGCTGTTAATGACTATATTATTATAACATGCAGATTAGGACTCCCTAGAAATGGAGGTTGTCTGGCAAGTGGGGACATATTGTCACCCTAGGCCTGCTGGAGTGAAATAGGAAGGCTGATTTGACATGTCTTTTCTAGCCCTTCAGATTTCATAGTTTTCATTGCTCAAATTTCAGATCCTTTGGTATTTTGTGTATATATTTCAAAACCAAACGAAGAACTCTAGACTTATGCTGTCCTGTATAGTAACCACTAGCCATGTATTGATCCAAAATGAATCTAGTTAGTTGAGATGTGCTGTAAAATGCACATTAGATTTTGGATATCTGGTTATTATTTTCAATAATTGGTTATGTGTTAAAGTGGTATTTTTTGTGAAATTATAGGAATGTTTGCTTAATTTAGGGTTTTTAAACATTTTATTTTTATGGATCTTTCTGGGTCTTGCCATGATGCCTCAGGCTGATCTCCAGCTCCTGGGCTCATGCCATCCTCTTTCCTGGGTGGAGGACCTCTGTGCTAGGCTTATTTTTTCTACTTGCTTGGATTATTCGTTTGCTGGAAAGTGAACCCAAGACCTTGCACATGCCAGGCAAATAAATGTTTTGCCACTGAGCAGATACAAGCTTAATCCTCTGTTTTATAAACAAGTGACTACTTAAAAATTCAAAATCACTTATATGGCTTGTACTGTATTCTGTTGGGCAGCACTGTCCTGGTGTTTGTAGTTGAAGCAGCTGAAAGAGTGAGGAGAGTAGCATTCTGTAAGGCTAAACTATCCTTAATAAGAAATTCCTTCCGAACTACGTGTTGTAATGCATGCCTGTAATCCTAGTACTTGGGAAGCTGAGGCAGGAGGATTTTAATGTCAAGGCCAGCCTGGGCTGCATATTGAGATCCTGTCTCAAAGTCAAAAAAAGGGCAGGAGAACTATGTTGGAGTTAATGCTAATATATAAAAATAGTTTTTCTTTTATAAAGAAAATGTTACTCTAAACCTTTAAAGCAACAGCTTATGTGTGGAAATAAAGTTTCCTTTCACTGTTTCCTAGTGTATGTGATACTGGTTTGTTTTCTAGAGATTCTAGACCTCTCCTGAAATACTGGTTTTCAGTATATTTATCATTTTTCTTGAACATTTTTTGTCTGATATTTTAAATTTGTATTGTAACTCTGAAGGTTTGGAATGGCTGGATTGTTGTTGACTCAAATGTGTCAGGTTACTAGTAACTGCTGGAAGACCTCAACACTGGTTACTAGGAATCTTTCATTTTAAAGGACTCTTCCTACTACTAAAGTGTTTTGCTTGCTAATGGTGTATCTCTGAAATTATTTACGTTGTGTTGTGTTACCACATAGGGTTACATTGTTTATTGCATTATTAAATGTTCTAAAGCTTTTACATTTTGTTTTATATATGTATTGTGCAAGTGTTTTACTTGGTACTTGTTTCCCTACAGTAGTTGTAATTATCCTTATTGTCAAAGTACTTGTGATAGCATTTGGTTGTATGTGCACTGTTTGCTGATTTAATTCAACTTCAGGGAAAACTTTTACTACTTGTGCACTTGTTGGAATTACAGCTACTTATACTAATGTTGTGAAGGGTCAGCAATCAGCACATTTATCATCCTGTTTGACATTGTTCATATAAAATGCTGGCCCTTTAGTAATTAAAAATTATGTGAAAAGACTTCAGTTTGGTAAACATTTCTAGCTAGACAACTTAAAATACCTTTACTGAAATATCTGTTTTTTTGACAGTTGTTTATTAATACTTGTTGATGATTCTATTGTTAAGTAGAATTACTGTCCAATTTTCTCTTACTAAATTTATTTGCTATAATTATCTTAGATTCATACGTTATAACCTTTTATATTCATATATGTATATTGTATACTTTTAAAGATATGTCAGAGAATTTGTGAGGGAAACCTAAGTAATCCAAGCTCTTCTGCTTAGGAGTGTATAAATTTCATTGTTTATCAGTCAGCCAGGGAATCCGATTTCTTTAAAGTTTGTTCTGTTCTTTGGGATGTTTGGTTCATTAAAAAACCCACTTGTTTTCTAATGATAGCAAAATTGAAACCATTTTTTATTTTTATTTTGGAATAATATTACATTTAAGAGATGCCCAAAGAAGAAATCTTATATAACTTAGTGGAAATACTTTGTTGACATTAACTTTTAAATTATTCATTAATTACTTTGTTATAAAAGTGGTATAATTCCTATCTAGATGTTTATACCTGACTCCATAGATTTTTTTTTTTTTTTTTACTAATTGTCTTGATTGACGTTAAACAGAGAAGTGTTCCTATCTTAGGACAGTGAAAGCTATAGACTAGTTATTTTGTAACTTGATTTTCAGTGTTATAATACTAGCAAATGGAATAAGTGGAATATCTTATTCTCTGTTTTGGAGAACCACACTGTTTTCTGTAATTACTAAAGACCAATGTTTTGTTCTTGAGGTAGTTGCATGGTTTGCATTATATTTCAGTTATCTGTTAGAAATCATAGAGAACTTTAAAAATTTATAAAAATAACAAAGCTGGGAAAACTACTTTCAAAACTGTCAAATGCACAAAAGAATGGATGCTGATTGTTGGATTTGGAAAGAGTAATTGGTTGTCCAGATGTGTTCTTGTTCCCTCCCTCCCTCCCTCCCTCCCTCCCTCCTTGTGTGTGTGTGTGTGTGTGTGTGTATTCTGCCTCACCACCAACCTGGGTCCTCTACAAGAACAGCCCTCTAAGCATTGAGTGATCTCTCCATTCCCAGTCCTTAGTTGTTTGAGACAGGGTCTCACTCTAGCCCAGGCTGGCTTGGAACTTGACTCAGCTCCCTGAATGTTGGTATTATAGCTGTGTACTACCATGCCCAGCTGTAACTCTTGTTTTTGAATGTCTTTGATTCCAAAGTATTACCTTATCTATGGGCAGGTTTACATAAGGATTTTAGATGTGCTGCCTGGTAACACATTTTTTTAATCATTTTTAAAAATTTTTAATAACTACATGATTAGAAGAAGCATTTCACTACAGCTTTAACATATTCAGTAACACACTCCAGAGCAAGAACACATCTCTTTTACAAGTGGGTGCAAGTTTCTAGGTTCACAGTTGAGTTAATACACTTATACAATATTTAACTCAGTATAAGCCCTGTAAGACATAAAATTGAATGAGTTTTTAACCTTTTAAAAAAGATCTCAATTTCAATCCATTTCATTTTAGAATATATTGTTCCTTGCAGAAAGACTCATTGTTTTTGTTACTAACACTGAGATGTTGACGCATGCACTTGGATCCTTGGTGCCTACATACGTCTGTAAAGTCATTGGGTAGATTTCAGTGGTACTGTTTATCACCTCTACTAATTAGCATGATATAAATTTCCGTGCTTCCTCCTCAAATATAATACATTTTAAAAAATTTGTTGATTTTGTGTGTGTGTGTATCACACAGAACATCCCAAACCATCTTATTCGACTATACACTCATTTCCCAGATGGCACCCTCCCATAGCCTCCCTCCCCCACTAGAGCCCTTATACTCTTGATATCCCTGCTACTTTCTGCTGTGCTGTCAGCACCCCAGCCATTCCCCACTACTTGCCCTTCTGGTGGATCTAGTCAGCCTATCTAGAGGTCTTTGTTTTAGGAAGGTCAGCTGTTCCTCATCTAGCAGTAATCAGTTGTCAGTATTCCTTTAGATAAGATTGGGGTCTGCTGTTCATTTTCCCAATTCTGTGCTGGGTTACTATCTGGGAGTCCCTTTGGCACCCTGGCTAACAACTCAAAAGAAGGTATCTCCTGTCTGGCATTGTTGCTTGTTATGTAGCCTTTAGCTGTGCATATGGACTCTTAAGAAATTATAGTGGCCCCTTTAATCTTTGGTTATACTTTCCTTTTGGGTGTTTAAGGCCATACAGTTGGCCCAGATAAACCAATTTATTTTTACTCTTAAGGTCATTTGAGGATCTGTTCCTCAGGGGTCACATGGACTTGGGAAGAGCCAGCAGTAACACATTTTTTTTTAAACCTACAAAGTATTGGGAAAATAATTTGATCTTGGTAATCACATCAGTTACTGATGTTCTTTTAAAAATCCATGGTTTTATTTTTTAATTAAAAATATTTCCAAGTAAAAAATATAAGCTGCTGATATGATTGTATGTAATACTTATATTTAGAGTCTTTGAAGCAATACTTACTGGCATTTATCAATGTCATGAAGAAATGTTTATCCCTTGTTTATACAGATGTGTTCCTCATCAGTTAAAACTCAGTCATTTTTTATGATTCGTTTCTTTAGGGTACAGTGAAAAGAAATGGTTGATGTCCATAATCTGATTTATTTAGCTTTTACTATGTAAATCACAATGCCTACAAACAGGGGTGGTGGTAGGGGTGGTGGTCGTGGGTGGTGGCAGTTGGTAAGAGACAGACATACTGTAGCTCCATGGGTGTTACTTCAGGTAGCATTTGTTGTTACTGTACCCTGTCAGGGAAATAATATGTCTTTTCCAGGCTAGCAAAACCATCATTCACTACAATAAATACATAAATCCCTTCCATAATGCTGTTTTTAGACAGCAAGCAAATCATGTGTCATTGAACTCTTAGAGTAATCTTACATATTTTGTTGAATTGATTGATGTTGTGTACTTCAGGGTTTTTTTTTTAATTGTAAATGAGACTAC